TGTTCTTGCCAGATTCTGTGAGCAGGTCCTGCCTCATACCAGACCTCTGATACAAGGGCTTACGTCCCAGGCTCTCTTCCTACTACATGGCCATCTTTGATTTCTGCAAGCACTGCCATCATTTCTTCTATCTTGGTTCAACAGGTACACCACCTCACAACCTCTCTCCTTGGAAAGCGGATCCCACCTTTGACATCAGTGTTACCCCTTTTTAACTCAAGCGATTAGTCAAAATTCAGGGCCCTGAGGTTGTTCCAGTTGGGAGTAGAAATTGATGATGGAATCTGGTATTTTCTTTGATGCAATCTAGTTTATTGACAAGAAATGTACAAAGTCCTGCTTCTTTGAATGTAGGAGAAACCAAAAAATGGGGACAGCTTCTTTGCTTACTTCCCCTAGCCCTGTATCTAGCACCACACCCAGAACCTTCCTGTAGGCTTCTCCAGGGTCACACCATGCTCTCAGGCTGCCACTTGGCTTTCTTTCTGCCTTTGAGTCTCTCTCATTCAGTCTGTTCTGTCTTCCCTCTCAATCAAATACACACAATACTGAGCAAAATCCCTCTGTCCAAAATAGGTAGAAAAGGTAGGTTTCACAGCCCCTTTTGTCATGGACTGAATAAAGACACCAGATTTATGGTTTATTACAATAATCTGTAACCCACTAATAACAACCACCTCCTCCAGCTGCTTCCACCCCCCATTCCTTTCCTCCCTATGACTGGAGGGGTGTGAATGGGCCACTTCACCTTGAATGGTCCCTTGAAATAAGTTAACTACTTGTGCTAAACAATCTGTGCCATCTTGTATTTAGCAGTGACACTTGGTGTTAAGCTTGGTCTGCACTACAGAGTTAGGTCAACATAAGTCAGCTTATGTCAACCTAACTATGTCAGTGTCTATACTACAGCCTTGCTCCTGCCAATGTAACTCCACAAGAGGCATAGGGTTTATGTCAGTGTAGTCAGGGCAATGCAGTGTGTGTAGACACTGCCGGCTGTTGGCTGTCTTGTCAATTTCACAGCTTCAATGGAGCCGTGAAATTGACAAGAAAGCCAGCTCCAGGATCCCCTGCCAAGCTGCTGCTGAATCTCTACTCCAAGTTGGGCTGCTGTCTGGACTCCCCACTGGGAGCCCTGCTGCCCCCTGGGTCCTGGCTCCCTGCTGGGAGCACAGTAGCTGACTGGAGTCCGGCAGGAGGCGAGAAGTCCTGCACAGCTTCCCCACCACTCCTCGCTGGGAGTGGGGAGGCGAGAAGCTGGCAGTGCCCCAAACTGCCCCTCTTCAGTCAATGGAAGCGCTTCTGGTGAGGATGTGCACCACCAACAGAAGAGGGGTAGTGTGGAGTGTAAGTCAAACTAACATAGCTCGATTTAAGATTGTAGTGTAGACATGCCTTTAGTTTCCCAGACCTGAAGAAGAGCTCTGTGTAAGCTCGAAAGCTTCTCTCTCTCACCAACAGAAGTTGATCCAATAGATATTACCTCATCCACGTTGCCCCTCTGAATGGGACAGTCATTAAGGGGCCTTAAAAAAGCAATAAGCCTTCCCCTAGAACAAATGGATTGCTGCAACCTAGGTAAAACCAGTTTTTTATTTAAGAGTGAACTCTAGATAAGTGGTAACCAAGCAACAGGCCACCTGATAGCAGATCTTGATCACCTGAGCAGGGTCTTTGAGGTTGACCAGGAGAATGAGAGGATAAAAGGGTAGGGAATTATAAGTTCTAAAAGGACCAGGTCTGGTCTGAGCATGAGTATTGTTCTCGCTGTCCAGAACAGAAAGAGAAGACTGAACTGAGGTTCAGGAGAGGGGACCTGGAGACCCCTGAAGGCACTGACTAAATTCCAGTGAATGCTCAGGGATGGTGAGGAAACTATGGCTGTGAACCAAGTACAGGTGTTTCTCATTTTGCATGGATCTGTATATCTCTTGTGGAGGCTAAAGAAATGGTTAGTTTAGCAATCCTTCTGGAAAGTCTGTGTCTTCTTTGCCTCAACTACCACGTCTTCCTGAAGGACAAACTGAATCAGAGCAGCACCCACAAGGGTGGAGTTCTGGGAAAGGCACAATTAATCATCTGGGGAGTCTTAGAATCATAGAATATCAGGGTTGGAAGGGACCTCAGGAGGTCATCTAGTCTAACCCCCTGCTCAAAGCAGGACCAATTCCCAACTAAATCATCCCAGCCAGGGTTCTTGTGGGGTTTAGGACTGGTCTTGAGGCTAAGGCCAAAGGAAGAGACAGTGAGGGGAGCATACCCAGACCAAGGGGAGCTAGGAACACATGGCTCCACTGAGTTCAAACATGGGTGCCTGGTGAGTGCCCAACAAAGGGCAGCTAGAGCAGGTCTGTGGTGTGCTATTGGGGACAGGCTGTTGAGTGCATAACTGTGCATTGGTGTTGCTGTGCGGGTTTGTGGCTGTTGTCTGGAGGTCAGTGGGGTGTGTGTGCGCTGTAGCCATAGGGCTGACCCTCCTGTTCTCCCCCCCACACCCATCCCCATCGAGGGGCAAGCGGCAGGGAACCAATCAGGGCTCCTCCCTGCACCGGGCGTGGCCCCGCCCAACGGTCCTGTGCCCTCCCGCTACACCTGGCAGGGGGCCGGGAAAGGGCAGAGCGGTTCGGCGGCCCGTTGGGGTCTCCACTACCTGAGAAACCGGCCGGCCGGTGCGTTCTGCGCCGGGAGCCACCGCCCTGCTCGCGGCAGGTAGCGGGGGGAGGGGGGAAACCGACGAGAGATAGGGACACTATCGTTATCGGGCTGGGACGAGTCCTAACGGGACGAACACGCCCCCGTGGGGATACGCGAGGGCGTCGAACGGGGCGGTGACAGTGAGTGACGTAGTTGGTTTGACCACGTGCCCTCTGTCTCCCTGGAAACAGCGACACATGGCTATGCCGGATTTAGCGCCCGTCGCTCCCCCCGCGGTGTGAGCTGCGCAGAGTCACCCGCTGCGGGGCCCGGACCCAGAGCCAACGTTAAACGTCAGTAGGGAAGCAGCGTGTCCCCCTCCCCCCGTGTGCACTGGGTGGCGGCAGGGAGCCCTGGGGCGGGGCTGGCCACGGGAGAGAAACGCTGACCGGGCTGGTCTACACCAGCCCCACGCAATGCTCAGTCTCGCGCGGTCCCAGCTGCGGCACGTTAGCGGCGGGTGTCTGTTGGAAGCGCGCACCTGATGCGCCCACTTTAATTTGGGAGCCGAGTGTGAACATCCCAGTCGGCAGGGTGAAATTGACCGACGCGTGGCTGGGCCGCTCGAGTCTAGTCCAGCGATCGTCTCCCTTAAGCCTTGTTGTGAGCGTTTAAGTCAGGTATGTATGAGCCTTGTGCTGGTCATAGGGGTGAATTATTGCACCCATGAAAAGTTTCCTTGAGTTTTAGGAGTAGGTGTGTGAAATCTGTTCAGGTAAGCAAGGGCTTGCTGCGCTGGGAAGTAATCTACACAATCATTTTTAAACAGTAAATTATAATCAAAACTAAAAATATTCTTTAAGGCTTTGGTTCTCAATCTCAACCCTTTGGGGCTCAGGACCCACTGGTAAACCTGGATGGCCTGTGGCAACCCAGTAAGTAGGTTTTGTGCCCTCCCTGCCCACCACCCAAAATCTGGTTTATTAAATATTTCTGAGCCTTTAGTGAGGGACCTTGTCAAAGGCTTTCTGAAAATCTAAGTACACTATATCCACTGGATCCCCCTTGTCCACATGCTTGTTGACCCCCCCCAAAGAATGTTAGTAGATTGGTGAGGCATAATTTCCCTTTACAAAAATCACGTTCACTATTCCCCAACAAATTATGTTCATCTATGTGTCTGACAATTTTGTTCTTTACTATAGTTTCTACCAGTTTTCCCGGTACTGAAGTCAGGCTTACTGGCCTGTAATTGCTGGGATCGCCTCTGGAGCCCTTTTTAAAAATTGGCATCACATTAGTTATCCTCCAGTCATTTGGTACAGAAGCTGATTTAAATGATGATAGTTTACAGACTACAGTTAGTAGTTCTGCAATTTCACATTTGAGTTCCTTTGGAACACTTGGGTGAATACCAAAAGGATGCCTTTTTGCCTCTCACTGCTTCTCTTACTTTGTTGTTTAGCCACGGTGGCACTTTTTTGTTTCTCTTACTATGTTTTTTAATTTGGGGTATACATTTAAGTTGAGCCTCTATTATGGTGTCTTTAAAAAGTTTCCATGCAGCTTGAAGGGATTTCACTTTTGGCACTGTACCTTTTAATTTCTGTTTCACTAACCTCATTTTTGTGTAGTTCCCCTTTCTGAAATTAAATGCCAGCTCCGCCTCTTCCCCCCCAAGGCCCCACTCCCCATTTGTTCCTCTTCCCTCTCACCACTGTCGTTCACTGCTCTTCCCCCATCCCCCTTCTGCCCTGGTTGGGAGGGAGTCATTTGCGGAGCTGCAGCCGCCTAACGCAGGTAGGAGCCAGCCCCGGCTGTGTAGGGACTGGTGCAGGAGTTGACCCGGTGCCTCCCACACCCGCAGTCCCGTGCTTTGGGTGTCTGGTCAGGAGATTTGACTGGACACTGTCAGGTCGCCTGTTTGACCAGACTTTCCGGTCAAAAACCGGGCACCTGATCACGCTATCTGTACTCCTTATCCCTCCCCACAGGCTTCCCACATAACCCTTTGACGCATTCTGATTACCCAATTTTGGGTCGTGGTCCACAGGTATATTATCTAACTTTGCATTCAGAACACTGTCAGATTTTTGGAATTGTTCTTGTAATATTGTCATTCCTCTACAAGACATCACTGGGCACAATCCTGCAAGATGCAGAAAGCCTCTTTTGTAAAACTGAGTACTCTTTATCTCCAATTGTTCAGGGTATTTGGCACTTTCAGAACTAGGCACAATGTCCAATAATCTGTCTCTGGGGGTATTCTATACTGGATGATTTGGAAGATGGCAAAATGGCAAAAACAAAAAAATCTTAATGAGAACTTAGTGATATTCTAATGTGATGTTTATTTCAGATGTATTATGGAAAGCCCAGTGGACCTTTGTTTTACTGAAGAAGGATGTAGCCATGACATAGTTCTTGAGAAACAAGTGTTTAGATCCAAAGTGCCAGAGTCTCATGTTCAACTTGCTTGTAATCTACATTACTGTGCTTTTCCTTTGAATGGAAATGAGCTATGCATCTGGAATACTGGCGATAGCCCTGCTCATCATCAGGTAAAAACCAAAACTTGTGTGTTTAGATTTTCAGTGTAATATTCTAAAGAGCACTAAAATGGATGGAAAACAGAAAAACGTTGGGTTTGGTACATCATTTTTTGCAGTGTAGGCTATTGTCCTTACTAGACTCCACATTCTATAGCTGGAATGTGGACAATTATTTGTTGTTTTGGCAAGCAGGCAGTAAGCCATAATGCAGTTCAGTGAATGGATTTTAATCATTAAAGAAAATTCAGTTTGAGTAATTGAGCATTGCTAGTTATTCAGATAAGTGTTAGCTATATTTTTTTTTCCTCTTATTTGCTATGTCTTCATCATCATTGGAAATGATCTATGGACATAAAAAAATGTTATATTTGCCAGCCATTGCACTTGGTAGGACACCACCATTCAATCACGGCACTGGCGTTTGGAAGTAAAATCAATCCCCTTCTTGTCTGCTCTGCTTCTTGTGACTATGTGATAGTATGGAACCTGGATGAGTGCACAAAGAAAGCACTACAAGGTAAGGCATTTTTATAGAAAAGTTACTTTTGAGTAGCAAGTGGTAAAGTGACGTCTTAAGGCTAAACTCTGCCACCCTTCATCATGATGTGTAGTACCTTATTCTTTGATTAGTCTCATAGGAATTACCATGGATCATCAGACTTTCTCCTGAGGGAGAGGTTTGCTAGAGTACTCAGGAGGACGTTAAATTAATAGCAAAAGGAAAGGGTAGAAAGAGGGAAGATACGAGTACTCAGCATAACACTGAGATGTTGAGAACAAAATTAATCAAGGAACCAAAGGACATGAAGAAAATAAATTCTTGAATTGCCTATAGTCTGAACTGAATCCAAACCAATGCTGGGAGCCTGTGTAACAAACAAGAGGAACTGGAATTGCTCATTTATGAGCATAATTTCAATCTAGTTGGTGTTACTGAAACCTAATGGGATGATTCATGCTCATGGCATATTTAACAAAAATGGGTAGAACATATTGAGGAAGGACCAAGTCGGCAAATGGGGAGGGAGGATGGCACTCTGTCAAAAATGGCATTACCTGTATGAATTACTTGTAACTTGGAAGAAAATTATCTTGAATGCTTATGGATCAGTGTCCTAACAGATAAAGCACAAGATGAACTATTAGTTGGTGTTTGCTACGGACCACCAAATCACAATAGGGAACAGGATAATTGCCTCCTTATGCACTTATCTGTAATGTGTAAAGGGGGGGGGGAGTTGTGTGATCATGGGGGAACATCAATTTGAGTGACATATGCTGGAGGTCTCATGCTGCCAGTACTAAACATCCTTGGATGTTCTAAACATTGTAGATGACAATTTTTCTAACTCAAAAAGTGTTGCAACCAACATGGGGGAATTCTTTATTAGACCTCCTCTTAACAGATAAAGAGGAACTGATCATAGAAATAAAAAATATTGGTAGCTTAGGTACAAGTGATCATGACTTGATCACATTTATAATGTGCATGCAAAATAAAGTCCAGACCAGGTAGAGGTGTAGGTGTGTGTGTGAATGATAATTGAGAGTCATTTAAGAACCCCTTACTGGATGCCCCAAATGCCACAATCCTACAATCAAGGAAAAAGGCCATAATGGTTAAAAATATCAATCTGGTACAGAGGGTAAGTGAATGCAACTATATGAAATAAAAAGTAATAACTGAAAGAAAGGGGAAGTTGATAGCACAGTATATAAATCTGAAGTTAGAATTGTAGCAAATCACTAAGGGAAGCAAAAGGACACAAGGAGACCTCTATAGCCAGCAAAATTAAGGACAATAAAAAGGATTTTTAAAAATGTATTTAGGAAAAATAATCCTGACAATGGTATTGATTCATTACTAGATAGAAATGGCAGAATTATTAATAATAATGCAGAAAAGGCAGACGTGTTTAAGTATTCTGTTCTGTATTTGGGGAGAAAAAAGTAGATGTCATAGTCTCATCATATGGTGTTGCTAAAACTCTTTTCATTCCACTAGTATCTCTAGAAGATGTTAAACAGCAGCTATTAAAGTTTAGACTTTTTTTATAGCAGAAGGTCCAGATAACTTGCATCCAAGAGTTTTAAAAGAGCTTGGGTCATTAACATTAATTTCTATTAAGTCTTGGAACACTGGGGAAATTCCAGAAGACTAAAAGAAAACTAATGTGCCAATTTTAAAAAATAGGTAATTATAGGCCTGTCTGCCTGATATTGACCCCAGGCAAGATAATAGAGCAACTGATACAGGACTTGATTAATAAAGAATTAAAGGAGGGTAGTATAATTAATGCAAATCAATACGTGTTTATGGAAAACAGCTGCTGTCAAACTAACTTGATATCCTTTTTGAGAGACTACAGGTCTGGTTGTTAAAGATAATAGGGTTGACGTAACGTAACTTAAGCTTCTGTAAGGTATATGATTTAGTACCACTCAACATTTTGATTAAAAGCTAAAATGATATAAACCGAACATGGCATACATTAAATGGATTAAAACTTGGCTAACTGATCAGTCTCACAGTGTAATCGTAAATGGGGAATCGTCATAGCAGGTGTTTTCCAGTGGAGTCCCACAGGGATCAGTTCTGTACTTTTTAATATTTTTATCAATGACCTGGAAGAAAACATAAAATCACATAAAATTGAAGGAGTGGAAAATAATGAAGAGAACCGGTCACTGATTCAGAGCGATTGGGGTTGTTTGATAAACTGGGCTCAAGCAAACAATATATGTGTTTGGAATATGGCTAAATGTATATATCTAAAAACAAAGAATCTAGGTTATACTTTCAGGATGGAGCATTCTGTCCTAGGAAGCAGTGACTGTGAAAAACATTTGGGGGTCATGATGGATAATCAGCTGAACATGAGCCCCAGTAAGATGCTATGGCCAAAAGAGCTAATGCAATGCTGGGGTGCATAAACAGGGGAATCTTGAGTAGGAGTAGAAGAGGTTATTTTATCTCTGTGTTTGGCAATGGTACAACTGCTGCTGGAAGACTGTATCCAGTTTTGGTGCCTGCAATTAAAAAGGATGGTGTTAATTTGGAGAGGGTTCAGAGAAGAGCCAAAGAATGAGCAAAGGATTGGAAAACATGCTTTATAGAGTCCGACTCAAAGAGCTGAATCTATTTATCTGAACAAAGAGAAGGTTAAAGAGTGACTTGATTACAGTCTTATAAATACCTACTTGGGGAAACAAATCTTTAATAATGGGCTCTTCAATCTAACAGAGAGAGGAATAACACCATCCAATGACTAGAAGTTGAAGCTAGACAAATTCAGACTGGACATAAGGCATGCATTTTTAACAGTGAGAGTAATTTAACCATTGGAATAATTTACCAATTATCCATCTTTTTAAATCAAGATGGGATGTTTTTCTAAAAGTTATGATCTAGGAATTATTTTGGGGAATTTCTATGGTCTGTGTTAGAGAAAGTCATTCTAGCTGATCACAGTGGTCCCTTCTGGCCTTGGAATCTATTCCAGTATCCTGTCTCTAACAGTATCCAGTACTGTACCAGCAACTTCAGAGGAAGATACAAGGAACCCTGCAATAGGCAGTTATGAGAGAACCTTCCTATTGTGGGTCTTACCTCACAGCATGCCCCACTTGTCCAGAAGTGACTCACCAGCGAACAGACTCTTGGGGTTGAGTGTGGGGTTGCTGGGCCTTCCCCTTGGTTACTACCTCCTAGTGGCCGCCTCTGGGCCTTCAATGGCTTAGCCCTCTGGCTAGGTAACTTAAAAGTTCATTGCCTTTCTGGGGTACTCAAAGTCCCAATATAAACAATACCTTCAACAATAGACCCACGTTACTATAAACAAAGTCTTTCACCCTTCCTGGGTTCAACCTACAGTTTGCTGTTCCTCTTATGGACTGCTTCCCTGGAGCCTGGGCAACCCAGGTAGTTATTGCCTTCTTCCTTGAGCTGGATGTCCCGACTCTCTTCCTGGAACTGTGTGTACTTTTCATTAGTCACTGTCTCTTAAGTCAAGAATCCCAGCCCTCTTCCTGGAGCTCGGTAATTCAGGCTGTTATTACCTCCTTCCTTAAGTCAGGAGTCTCTCGTTTTCCTCCTTGAGCAGGGTGTCCTTTAGCATGCTGTAGAGCCATACCCAGCTTCTTCCTCAGATGACCCTGCTTAGTCCAGAGGATTTCACACCCTTCCCCTGCTGGTTACTGCCCAGTTAGATGGGAATAAGCAGCATACATGCTAATCCCCATTGCCCAGCTCATTCCTGATTGGTCAGATGAGAGAGGAGCCTTACCCCACCCTCCCTACAGGGCTCCTGGCCCCAAACCCTTGAAGATACAGTGATGGGATTTTCTCCCAAGCATCACTTATTCCCCATACCACTTCCTCGCTATCCACATTCCCTTTAGGTCCTTATACTAGACATTTCAAACTCTTAAAGGGTCACTTGGTGTGGGGGCAGTCCACTAAATGTTACTACCTTTAAGAGACAGATTGCCACATCACAAAGCCACTAGAGAAAGTTTTCCTTTTAATCCTCCAGTAGTTAAGGGTTGGCTTTATGTTCTGAAGCATGAGAATATATATATCCTTTCCAAAACTCCTACTTTGCTTGTTAAAGTCTTTCTTGATCTCTACTCCCTGTTGAATTTGTAAACATTTGTATTGTGAAGATTTATTTTATAAATGTAAAACATTTTCATAATCATTTGCTTTGTGATCAAGCTCACTAAGGAACAGGAGAGGGGCAGAGACTTGGAGCATTGACATGAAGGAGGGACATTGGGTTGTGAGAAGTATGGGAAAGGCGGTGGAACTGGGAAACTGGTGTGTAGCAGTGTGTGGAGCCAGGGATCCTGGATCCATAAAGAGCTTGGGAGCAGGGTTTCCTATTTCCTCTACACCTGCTGGTCTCCCCCCACCCCTCAGCAGATCCTGTTATTTCTTTATTCTCCCAAATTGTCCCCTGCACTTTAGTTCATGCTTGTTTTCTCTTACCAGATACCCACCAACTGCATAAGGGTAGACAATGGGATTCTTAGTCTGACAAATCTCCCCCCCCCCACTCAATTAACCATGGCAAGTTCATCATACAAAAACTGTCTCAGTAATGGACCTCTACTTATTAGTACTTTACTTTGTTGGTAACCTTCCCCCCCTCCTTTTCTTCCCCACCATTTCTCAGCTCCTAACAGCAGCAGTGGACTGAGTGGGGGGAAAATTGCTTGGTATAGAAGAAATAAATCAGAATAAATAACTTAACCAGGGTAGGGAGTAGAGCAATATTGGATTAGGGAAATCTCACCTCTCAACAGGTGCAAGGCATGCTCCTAGTGGAGGCATAGTTTAAAAGGACACTGGTAGCCCGAGAGAAGTGGGAGGTGAGGCTGGAGCCAGCATTGGCACTAGCACCAAGCAAGACTGATGCTGAGAGCTGTGCAGGTAATGGCAACAGCGTTGTGAAGGCTGCGCTAGCAGCAGGGACTTGTGTTCCTCACTGTCCTCTTTGAGAGTTGAAAGCCCTAAGAGAAATTGACCGACTGAACAGGACACTAAGGGTACGTCTATACCCAGCCGCTAGTTCGGCGGCTGGCAATCGAACTTCTGGGTTTGACTTATCGCGTCTTGTCTGGACGCGATAAGTCGAACCCAGAAGTTCATCGCGTCTTGTCTGGACGCGATAAGTCGAACCCGGAAGTGCTCGCCGTCGACTGCTGTACTCCTGCTCGGCGAGAGGAGTACCGCGGAGTCGACGGGGGAGCCTGCCTGCCGCGTCTGGACCGAGGTAAGTTCGAACTAAGGTACTTCGAACTTCAGCTACGTTATTAACGTAGCTGAAGTTGCGTACCTTAGTTTGATTTGGGGGGTTAGTGTAGATCAAGCCTAAGAGACTGAGGAGAGTTTGCGAAGCCAGTGACTGCGCCCCCAAACTGAGGAGCTCCAGACTGGTAGGAAGTGACCCAGGGGAAACCTAATTTGGGATAGCTAAGTAACTGGGCTGGACACCCCTAGGGCCCTGGATCAGGACCTGGTAGAGTGGGTGGGCCCAGGTCTCCCTACCTTGCCTCCCCACCCTGCTCCTTTGTAGTAACTGAGCTCTGTTGGAACAGTTGGTGAACAAGGGAGTGATTGAGGCTGCAGCTGGGGATGACTACACTGGCAGAAACTGTAAGGCCAGTGTAGCCTCTTGAGCCTGAAAAAAACATGAAAAACAGGGCTTTGGAGTGGAGCTGGAGCGTGGAGCAGCTCTGGAGCAGTGGAGCTGCAGGTTTTTGCCTGGAGCTGGAGCAGAGCCGGAGCACAGCTCCAAAGCCCTGATTAAAAATGTATAGAGATGGAGTTGGACAAGTTGCTAAAATGGGTTGTGGAGAATCAACAACAAGAGGGCCAGTTGCTGCAGCAGCTGGTGACAACACTTCTGCAATCTCAGCCACTGCCATCTGATCCGCTGGAGGAGCGACTAACCCTAATCCAGCTCTCAGCCTTCCCTTGAAGATGACAAAAATAGGACTGGATGATGAGTCTGAAGCATTCCGAATGATGTTAGAAAACATCACTATGATGGCCTGGTGGCAACCCAGATGGTTCTCATCTCACCGTACCTGACAGGGATGGCCCAGACTGTATACTGGAGCCTAGATGCAGTGGTGGTGCAGGATTATTTCTTATTCAGGGCAACCATCTTGGATGCTTTTGGTATCTCCAATGAGACTCATCGCCAGAGATTTTGATGCGAGAAATTTTCACCTGGTGCCCAACCTAGGGCAGTGGCACAGACCCTAACGGAACACTGGTGGTAGCTCCAGCCCAAGGAAGAGATGGTGGTGCAAGTAGCAGAGAAGATTGTTAGAGCAATTCCTCCAGATCTTCCCACCTGGAGTACGGGAGTGGGTGATAAGACACTGACCGGAGAATCTGTTGGAAGCAGTGACATTGATGGGGAAACTATATGCCAATTGCTGGGCTGCATGCAAAACGCTAAGAGACAACCCAATTCTACACTGGCCAACTCAGATGAGCAGCGGAAGAGCAAGGAGGGGAAGCATGAGAAGAATTTGGCTATCCACCCCAGTGGGGATGGGACCAACAGAGCAGAGATCAACTGCAGTGGTTTATCCCCACAGAGAGATGGGACAAGGTGGCTATTCTGACACAACTCAAGGCCCCCCACAGGATCCCCATGAAGTGTGGGAGCCTAGACAGTTGAAGCACCTCCCCATCAGGTGACTAGTTTGTGTGCGGTCAACCGGGCCACTTCTGCCAAGATTGATTTGTCTGTAGCTACAGTCCATATACAGTCTGGGTAGCTGATTTCAGAGCTTGCAAGATGGGATTGGAGAAACTGGTGGTGTCAGTACAAGTTAATGGAGTCAGGGCCCACAGCTTAATAGACGTGGGGGTGAGGGAGAAACTTCATGTACCCTATTCCTTCAGTGCATCCATGGGGTGCATGTCTGTATGCCATGAGGCAAGTCCAGCTAACAATACAGAACTGCACGGACACCACTCATGTAGGGGTGGCCCTGAATTTCGCTTACCCTACTATAATTGGGTGAGACTAGAAGTTTTTACAGGTACTGATGGAATTAGGAAGGGGGGGTGTCCCTGGGGGGGGACAGAGGGAGTTGCAGAAAATGCAATGAGAGGAGACCTCCAGGGGCTGGTCAGATTAGGTGGAGATGGTGGCCCAGGGGAAGGAACTTCCACATCCCCAGTCAATGATCCTACTCATGGCCTATGCCCTGTAATGGCTTGAGCTAAGGACTAGCACACTCCATCACCTGACGTAGAGCTGCTTTTGAGCTGAATTGACTTCATTGTCAAGCAGCAGAATGATTTAACATTTGTCTAGGCCTACAAACCGTTTGTCCATGTCAACAATATAGTACAAGAGCCACAAGTATTAAAACAATAGCCACAGTTTGAATTACACAGGGGAAAATATACTGATTGGCGAAAAACCTACAGACTAGAGAAGACTAGCTATAACTCCTTGTTCCAAAAAGTTTCAAAGGGAGGTGTTAAATCTGGCCCTTGTGATATACTGCAAAGGACATCTTGGGTAGGAAAAGAACATTGGAAATGGTGACCCTGTGCTTCTGTTGGCCTCATGTCCACCAGGAAGTGTGGGAGTATTGTGCTTCATGCCCCAAATGCCAGTAGGTTAGCCCCAGGAAGATCCCTAAGGTCTCTCTAATATACCCTCTCTCCCCATTGTAGGGACCCTATTCAAAACAGTAGGGATGGGTTTAATAGGACCACTGGAAAAAGCGCAGTAAGGCACCAATACATCTTAGTGATCATGGACTAAGCTACATGCTACCTTGAGGCGATACCCCTGTGCTCCACAAAGGTGGCAGTCATCACCGAGTTGATGAACGTATTTGCCCGGGTAGGGATTCCTAAAGAAATAATTGCTAGCCAGGGAATCACTTTTGAGTCACAGCTAACGAAAAAACCTATGTAACTTGCTGAAGGTGAAAGAACATTTGTTTATCACTGACAAACTGGTGGAACATTTCAATAAAACCATGAAAGAGATGCTTAAGAAGTTTGTGACCTCTGATCCTCATTAATGGAATCAGCTCCTACCCTTCTATTCTCCATACAGGAAGTTCCCTAAACTTCTATGGGATTTTCTTCATTTGAGTTGCATTATGGGAGACAGCCCTGGGGAATGTTAGATCTGATTCATGAAACATGGAAGGGACATGAATTGGTCCACCAACTCAGGGCAGTATATATTGTGATTGAGAGAAGTTAAAATCCCTGTGTGAGTTTGCAAAGGAGAACTTATTGAAGACTCAACATGATCAAGAGAAAAACAAAGGTGCCCGTATCTGAGAATTCCAAACAGGGGCCCAGGTGCTGCTTCTGTTACCCAACTCTGAGTCCAAACTGTTGGCTTGGTGCCAGTGGCTCTTTCAAATAATGAGAAGGGTTGGAGCTGTAGATTCTGAAGTTCACTAGCCTGGGAAGAGGTAAGCCTCACAAATGTATCATGTCAATTTACCAAGGGTATGGAAAGAACGGGAGCGACTCTTCATCACTCCATTCCCCGCTGAGCCTGAACTCTGCCACAGTGGTTCTCCAGGTGGGACTGTATCAACTGGGGAAGGCTTATGACCCCAACAGGAACAGCAGGTATACAGTCATCAACACATTCCCCTCTGTGTTTTCGGCACCACCAGGCCAGATGCATCTATTGCTCCATTATATAGAGACTGAACCTGGCCAGAAAGCGTGCAAGCATTGCCCAGAAAAAATGTGGGAGATTGTGAGACAACAGCTACAGAAAATGTTGGCCATGGGGGTCATCCAGGAGTCTCACAGTGAGTGGTGAAGTCCAATAATGCTTGTACCCAGACAGGACAGCTCAACTTAATTCTGCATTGATTTTCAAAAAGTGAATGCAATATCCAAATTTGATGTCTATCCCTTACTGCGGGTCGACGAATTGCTGGAGAAGCTGGAGGCTGCCAGGTATATATCCACCTTTGACCTAACTAAGGGGTACTGTCAGATGCCAATTGCCCTGATTCCAGTGAAAAAAACAGTCTTTTGTATGCTCCTGGGCTTATTCCAATTTAGAACTATACTCTTAGATCTGCATGAGGCAATGGTTGTGTTCCAGAGATTAATGGATTGTGTCCACATAGTCAGTATATGGCTGCTTATATCAACGATCTTGTCATCTACAGCAGAACCTGGGACAACCACATAAATCACCTCACAGTAGTCCTACAGGCAGTCCAAGTGGCCAGGCTGACAGCTAACCTGGCTAAAGGTCAATTAGCCAACTGGGAAGTGAACTACTGGGTAGGGATACCATCTGTCCATATTTCCCCGGACATGTCCGGCTTTTGCGTCTCTAAATAGCCGTCCGGGAGGAATTGGTAACAAGGTTAAAATGTCCAGGGTTTTTTTCTCCCTCCCTCCCTTCCATGCAGAGTGCGGCTGCTGATTGGGCGGCTGGGCCGATTGAGCCGCTCCCAGTGGTCTCCAGCAGCCAGAGCCTTCCCCTGCTCCCCCCTCCCTCTGTCTGCAGCCCTGTGTAACACACAAACCGACCCACCGGGCAGCGTGTTTTGCCTACACGTGGAGCCAGAATGGTAAGGGGAGTCGGGGGGGGGGGG